CTCGGGGGCCCGGGCCCGAGCGGGGGCCGGCGCGGGGGCCGGGGCTGCCGCCGCCTCGCCCGCCCCTCCATCGCCATCTTGGGCGAGCAGCCGAGGCGGGGGCGCTTAGCGAGTGCGGCAGCCCAGGCCCCGCCGGGGACCCCGGGCCGGGGCACAGTGACCCTACACCGCGCTGGGCTCCGCTTTGCTTGCGTCTGCGCTCCGGTGTCTCACCCTCGCCGGGTCGCCTTGAGCCCCTGTTGGGCCGCTTGTTTCTAGGTCTATTTGTCTCAGTCTCCCGGTCTCTGAGTCCACGGGTCTCTCTGCCTTGGTGTCTGCGTTTCTTTCCCTGTCCCTGCCTCAGGGTCTCCTCCATCTCGGTTCCAGGGTGAATGGAGGCAGATTCAAGCCTTCTTCTGTGTCCCCATGGACCCGTCTTGCCTTTGGAGTCCAGTCCATTCCAGCTGAGGTCCCGTACTCAGCTTCTCCACAGGCTGCACCACCAGATCCACTGAGGACATGACAGTTCCCTCTTCACCCGCATTTCCTTTGCCATTCCAAGCTGAGGGCTTCTCTTGGCCTCCTTCCCCTGCTCATGCAATAACCAATCCAGGCTGGGCATTTAGTCTACCCCAAGCACTTCCACATTGCAACCCTGGGGGAAGCCAGGAAGGTTTGATTGCTTCCATTTTACACACAGGGAAACTGAGGCTGGAGGAGGTGAAGACTTGCCTAAGGACATGAGGCCAGGGCGCAGCAGATGCAGAACCAGAGCCCTGGTTTTCTGACTCCAGGGGGTCAGTTCCCACTCATTCTTCAACTGTGTCTTCTCTGTCCTAGCCAGACTGGTTGCCTCAGTATTCCACAAATATTTCTTGTTCTAAAGCCAGGGATTCAATCTTCAGGCTAGAGCGGGGAGAGGAGTACAGATTAAATGACCTATTTAAGGTCCCTCCCAAAACCAACATGCCATGGTTCTTTATTCCCTATGTCTCCAGCATTCCCATGACTTTTGTCTCTACCTGGTAGGTGCCTTACCCATCTGTTGCTAGTTGACCCTTAATAATGACCTGTACTTTGCAGATCTAACAGGATCTGGCATTTATGCATTCATTGCCAGGCCCATTAGCACTATGTGACTTAGCTGACTACTTCCACTTGCTTCTCTGAGTGATGTCATCTGGTCATTAAAGCTTTAAGTGACATCTTTATACTGAAGATGCCCAAATTTATACCTCCAGGCTGGACCATCTCCCCTGAACCCCAGACTTATCCAGCTACCTGCTCAACATTTTCATTGGCAATCTAATAGGTGTCTCAAATTTAATATGTCCAAAATTGAGCTCTGATATTCCCTATTAAAACTGCCCTTCCCACGGTTTCCTCCATCTCAGTTCCTAGCAGCTCCATCCTTCCTGTTGCTCAGGTCAAAACCTTTGGAGTCATCCTTGACCCTTCACTTTCACATCTTTCACACTCCATCTTCCCCCACCACCTTGATCCAAACACCATCACCTCTCACGTGTGTTGTTGCCATAGCCTCCTCAGTAGTCTCCGTATTTCTGCTGTCCCCCTTCAGTCTTTTCTCAATACAGCATCAAGAGTGATTCTGTTCAAATGTGAATGAGATCATGTCACTTCTCTGCTCAAAACCCACCACAACCTCCTATCTCCGAGCAAAAGCCAAAGTTCTTATGATAAGTCCTGTCTGATCTGGAGGCCTGTTTTACCTCTCTGACCTCACCTCCCCTTTGCTCACCACCTCTCCAGCCACACCAGCCTTCTGGCTGTAACTTGATCATGACCAGCCCCCTCCCTCTTGCCTCTAGACCTTTGTCCAGCTAGTGCAGGTCTGGAACTCTGTCCTCCCACTCCTCTGGTCCTCACAACTTCCCCTAGTCTCCCTATCCCGCTTCTTTCTGACATGCTCTACATTTTACTTATTTTATTTACAGTCTGTCTCTCTCCCCTCCCCCCAACTAGAATATGGGCTTCATGAGGACAGGGATTTTTGTCTGTTAGGTTCACTGCTGAATTCGAAGCAGCTAGGCCAGTATCTGGCACTTTGTAGGTGCCAAGGGCCAGGGTGAAAGATACAAGTCACTGCCCACAGGGACAATAGTGTCCTAAGTGGCATGGGGTGGCAGGGAGGATAGGAGCAAGAGGAGGGACTAACTGTGGGTGTGGTGGTGGTGGTGGGGTGTTGAGGAAGAAGACTTCACAGAACTGTTGATGGTTGTAGATGTTTGATCTGGGTCTTGACAATCTAAGGAGGGTAGAATGGACAGGGGTGGAGGGAAGAAACACCCTCTGCTGAGGCCCTGTGGTGTGAGAGACAGGAAGTGTTCTGGACGTGACAGAGCCAATAATTAACTGTACAGATATTCATGGACCACCTGTGATGGGTCAGGCCCTGCTCTGGGCACTGGGAACACAGTGTTGAACACAGTGTTGAATGTGATGGTTCTTGCCTGCGTGGCACTTGCCCTAGTGAGGGAAACAGAGACATGCACACAGGCAACTATAATACTGTGTGATAGATGCTTTGATGGGAAACAGGGAGGAGGGGCACCCTGGCCAGACTTAGTGGGAAGCTGGGAAAGCTTCTGGAGAAAACAAATACCTGAGCCCAGTGTAAGCAGAATGTAAGAGGTGTGAACTGGGCAGGGGTGGGAGAGGAAGCCAAACAGAGAGGCTGGGGCCAGGTGGGGAAGGCCTTGTATGTTGCCTAGAAGGCAGTTGATGATTTGGCTGTCAATTGAATGCATAAATGAACAGGGTGTTGCCACATAAAGAGTGTTGCTAATTCCACAAGCCACAGACAAAAATCCAATCAATTTCTCTGTATTCTTATCTCAGCACACAGGTGGGGAGTAGGTGTGAGGTGGGAGTAGGCCCAGGCCAGCCAAATCCAGTGCAATAAATAAGAGCCATGGTTCTTGTCCTGCCTCTACTACCGATTTGTTATGTGTCTTTGGGCAACTTCTTTTCTCTCCCTGGGCCTCAACTTCATCAGTGAGAAAAATAAGAGGGCTGGAATATGATGTATATTTCTAAGTAGGTGTTCCAAAGAGTTCACACTCTTTTTTTTCAATTACAGTTGACATTCAGTTTCAACATGGCTTTTTTTTTTTTTTTCCCCCTCCAGGATTTTATTGGGGAATTGGGGAAGGGGAACAGACAAGTTGCTGTCCTTTTGTTCTTCAGTCTAGTTGTGGAGGACGTCGCTTCTCTGGCCCATGTTGGTATTATCATTGCACTCTTCCCAGGTGAGGCAGTCGCTTCCCGGCTATTGGACGGCTGCTCATGGCCACTCATGAAAGTGCACGCCCGCTGCCGGCCAGCCCCACTGCAGCCTACGACTCACAGCGGTCCAGCTCCAGGTCGAGCTGTTGTTCACCATCTCAGCTGTAGAGGGCGCAGCGTCACTGGCCCTCATGTGGGATCCAAACCTGGCCTCTGCTGCTCACAGCTGGCATCCCAAGCCCATTCCTAACCAACACAGCTACTTGGCCGGCCCAAGAGTTCACACTCTTAAAAGTGGATATGGCACTCATTTTAATTTTTTTCTTTTTAAATCAATCATTTATAATATTCTATTATTTTGCTTTTCAGATGGTACCATGGAATGCCTCCTAATGAGTATGGAGTGTTCATGGGTAGAGGGCCGTGGAGGGCTGATTAACACGCTCAGGTGAACATCATTTGCCACTGTCCTGGCTTTCACCATTAAACAGCTCAAATTGTTTTCCATCTTAGTTATTTATATGTTGAATTTATAGCCATGTTAGACCATGAGAAACATATGACAGGAAGTATGAGGAGCACTGATGGCTAAACTACAAAAATCTGATGCTGAAGAGAAAGTGATAATTTTGCAAATTTGCCTCAAGTTGATCGTCATTGGAAAAGAATGTTATAATCTTCTAATCAAGTCATTCAAAAGTCAATATTTAAAAAAAAAATCTAGTGATAATTCAGTCTAATTTGGCTTTTTGTTTACTAGAAAGGCAGACTGATTGTATCTACAATGTTATTTGTGGAGAAGTACTTCCCAATAGATATAAAACCTTGTATTTCACATTTCAGAAATAAAACTAAAACATTTTAAAGGGTTTGTTTTTAAAATTTTATTGTAGCACAAAATGCAATCATATCATGAAAACAGTTTTTGTCTGTTTTTTATCCTATGGTTAAATTTCGATGTACCTTTGGTCTCCAAATTTAACATAGTTTTTTTGTTGTTGTTGACAAATCATGTTTGTTTTTTTGAAATTAACTTAAAATGAGTACACATCACTTCTTCAATGGGAAAGAGGGTTTTTTAAATTGTCAATTTAATTAAATATATTAAAATTACCTTCAATTAGTAATGTATTGTTACAATTTTTTTTCCCTCTTAATGTAACTTCTTTGACACAGTTCTAAGACAGAAATAACATCTTGGGGACAGGTCAAAGTAGGGGTCTAGAGACTGGGAAAGGGCTAGAGGACTGCAGGTTCCATTGGTTTGACCAGATAGATGGGCTGTTATTAAATAAAGGGAACACGGGGTTGGAGGGGGGAGTGCAGGGAGTGAGACAGGAGATGGAAGTTAAATCGCTTTTTTAAAATGTTGGGTGGGAGGTGCCTGCATGGCATCCAAGTGAAAATGTTAAAGCACCGGAAATGGCTTTAATCTGAGGAAAGAGATCAGAACCGGAGAAATTATTTTGTGAGTTGGTACTTCTCCTATCAGAACATCTAACACGCGTTATTATACTATTTTTGTTATATATATAT